AATAATATAAATTTACTAGACAATGTTCAACGGTATAAAAGTTTAGTTGAAAATATATCAAATTTTCTCTACACATTTTATTCATGTTGATTTTATACTTATTTCCTGCCATCTCACGATCAGGTTGAATATATCTTGAATAACTCAGTGTATATATCTTGGACGTTTGCAAGGCTTCAGTGTGCTGTATTTCACAATATGAGCAGCCAGCACATCTTATCTTAGTTTTTTTTTTCTTTTCTGGAAACATAACAAATAAACATCTTGATTTTGAAGAAAGGAGGATAAAAGGATTATTTCTGGAATGCAGAGGGTCAGTACATCAGAGCCCTGCAAAAATGTGTTCCAATGAAAAGTAGAAACAATAATATTGTCGTTTATTAAAGGGAGTGTTCGCGAAAAATGAAAAGGGGTATATGCTTACGGTAAAAAATTATCGATGGTGATCGCAACTAATCCGTAGCGTCTATGAGGAGAAAATTGTTAAAAACGACGTGTATCGAAGAACGTAGCGTCCATACGAATTCAGACTCGGATCGTAAAAAATCAGTTTAGTTCCAAATCAATTGGATTTTGCCGGATATTACAACCTGTAATCATCGATGAAATAGATTTTTCTGAAAGTAATTGTTTTCAATGGAACTTTAAATAATTGAAATACAGCTCTAACATCTATATATAAATAAAGTAGTTATCTCTGTTTGTATGTCTATCTATTTGTTTGTTCGATCATAACTCATGAACCCCGTTACCGATTTGATTCAAACTTCGATTGGGGAATTCGGGAGAACCACGGAAATTCTCTTAGCTTGGTTTTGAGATTTTAAATTGAGTGGGTCGATTGACATAAAGAAAATGTAATTTCTCGGTAAAATTGTTCAAGTATCCTTAAGGCGCCGCTGGATCCCAAGCTAGTTTGAATATAAGGTAATAGGAAACGAATGAAGTATGAATGAATTCTTCTTCTAAAGTTTAAATGATATTTAGTCGCAAAAACTGCTTTTCTTTTAAAAAGTTTTAAAGTCACTGATTAATAGCTTATATTTTATATTTTGTATCCTGTATTCTCTATTTTGTGTTCTGTATCCTGCATCCTATACCCTGTAATTCTGTATTATATTCTGTAGTCTGTATTCTGTATTCTGTACCCTGTATTTTGAATTCTGTATTATATTCTGTAGCCTGTACCCTGTATTTTGAAATTCTGCATTATATTCTGTAGCCTGTATTCTGTCTTCTGTATGCCTGTATTTTGAATTCTGTATTATATTCTGTAGCCTGTATTCTGTATTCTGTATGCCTGTATTTTGAATTCTGTATTATATTCTGTAGCCTGTATTCTGTATTCTGTACCCTGTATTTTGAATTCTGTATTATATTCTGTAGCCTGTATTATGTATTCTGTACCCTGTATTTTGAATTCTGCATGCGTACAATGTATTTTCAGTACACACCCATGCACCTGCCCTAGAAAATTATCTTGAATGGTTTAAATTCAGCTAAAAATCTCCACCCCACTTGCAAATTAAATTTAGAACATGAGATAAACCAAACCATGTAAAAAGTTTCAGTTTATTTACTGTTCTAGCTAGCAGGCTCTATAAAGACAAGAGGGTTCGAATCATAGATATACAAGAATATACAGGGTGTCCCACATCATATTAGACCGAGAACGGGTCTAAATTACGATTTTCGGGACTAATTAGAAAATTTCATTAGGATGAATCATTTTGAAAAATAACATAAGGCTTATATAAGAATTTACTTGCGGAAAATGATAAGTTTTTCGAGTATTAAGGGTTTATTTTGGTGTTAAAGATTGGAGATAATCTAATATGATATGGGACGCTCTGTAGATCCCTCATGTCGTCTTCACCATACCAATGGTTACAGCTCAATTTGAAAATGGCAATTTAGCCATGGTACTAGCTACTGACATACAGTACATTAGATAAAAAAGTTTGCGGCAAGTATTTTTGTACTCTGTACAAATTTATGGAGGTTTGTTTACAAATATTGCAAACAGATTAGTTAAGAGTTGATCTTACAGGATTAGAAGGAAGATTATTACAGTTGCTGCTTGCTACTGATACTTTGACGAATACTATATGTGTCAACAGGTGCACTGTTTAGATACAGTTGCAGTGAAAATCACGGTATGATTACTAATTCTTAAATTAACTTAAGTTTTTACATTCTTTCTCAGGAGTCAGGAAGGGGGGGGGGGATTATTATTTAATTTAATCAGATGTTTCCATACACCACTTACCATTTTAATTCGTTTTAAAACCTATTTTTGTGTTGAAATTTATATTTTAAATTTTTTTTAACCATTAATATTGTTTTATTTCAGAATCTCACTTCAACTTGTCTAGAGTGCAATAGAGAAATCGATTGGGTAGAGCAAATTGTTACTAATTATTTTACAACTGAGGCAAAGTAATATCTAGCAAGAGAAAAGAACAGAGAAGAAAACCCAGCCAAGCTCCGCAAAAAGAACAGGGAAGAAACCCCAGCCAAGTTCCGCAAAAAGAACAGGGAAGAAACCCCAGCCAAGTTCCGCAAAAAGAACAGGGAAGAAAACCCAGCCAAGCTCCGCAAAAAGAACAGGGAAGAAAAACCAGCCAAGCTCCGCCAAAAATTGTCCAATTTTGTTTTCTCATCAATAAAGAGATTTTTTAAACTATACTTTCATTTACACATTTGTCTTGTCTGCTTCTGTATTTGTATGTTTGGACTTGAAAATTTTCACTTTTAGAATCTCTTTGGATATCTTAATGTTTAAAAGGGTCCTGAAGAAAGGCGACATTTATTACTTTCAAAAATGTACCAATTTAAACATAAAACACAAATTTTAGAACGATTTTTAGTAACGACTTTCATGGCAACAGTTAACCCTATAAATGCTTGGGGATCATTAATCTGGGGCACATAGATTCAGCCTACATATATATATAGAGTCCCATCAATTTATCAGACAGGGTCGACTTTGAAGTGTCGCAACACCTGGGGATCAGATTTTACCGTTTTAACTCACTTTTCTGTAGCCCTGGCAACAGTCTCATCAATTTTTGCTCGAGAACGTGAGAACTTCAAATCCAGTCGGGGGGGGGGGGGGGGCCCCCCCAAAAAAAAAACCTAAAAGAAAAGGGAATATAGGTTTAAAATGCATATTTATAGACCAACTTTTCAATGCCAGCTTATTGAAAAAAATAGACCTATAACTTTAACGGTTTGGGCGCTAGGGAAAGTTGAAAAAAAATACCAAAAAACGGGTTAGAAATGTAAAAAATATTTTTTTTTGTAAACAGAGATCAAATCAAAATAAAAGGATAAACGAATAAAAGGATAAAAGGATAAAAGGATAAGGATAAAAGGATAAAAGGATAAAAGGATAAAAGGATAAAAGGATAAAAGGATAAAAGGATAAAAGAATTTATGGATAAAAGGATAAAAGGTTAAAAGAATAAAAAGAATAAAAAGATAAAGGATAGAAGGATAAAAGGATAAAAGGATAAAAGGATAAAAGGATAAAAGGATAAAAGGATAAAAGGATAAAAGTATAAAAGGATAAAAGGATAGAGGATAAAAGGATAAAAGGATAGAGGATAAAAGGATAAAAGGATAAAATTATAAAAGAATAGAAGGATAGAAGGATAAAAGGATAAAAGGATAAAAGGATAAAAGGATAAAAGGATGAAAGGATGAAAGGATAAAAGGATAAAAGGATAAAAGGAAAAAGGATAAAAGGATAAGAAGGATAAAAGGATTAAAGGATTAAAGGATTAAAGGATAAAAAGGATAAAAGAATAGAAGGATAAAAGGATAAAAGAATAAAAGGATAAAAGGATAAAAAGATAAAAGAATAAAAGAATAGAATGATAAAAGGATAAAAGGATAAACGAATAGAAGGATAAAAGGATAAAAGGATAAAAGAATAGAAAGATAAAAGGATAAAAGAATAGAAGGATAAAAGGGTACTGTTTTGAATCTTTAAATTTACTGAAATTGCTTTAAAATTCTCTTAAAAAGATTTTGGTAAACAAAGTAAGAGAAAGTACCGGTACGAGTAATGTTTAAGTATGTATGGATATAATATGTATCTACATGTATCTCTACTCTAACATGTGAAGAAGACAATACAATGTAATCTTGTCAATCTGTGGAACAAACAAAAAATGAAAAATTCTTTATTTTAGACCAATCTCATGCACCTGATTTATAATAAAATCAAAGTACTGTACAAAGACACGTCCTATCATAAATAAATGAACTTATTACTCGACTCAAACTCAATTTTGTCAATCCATATATTTTTACAACTTTATATATTTAGAGTAAACTGCACCTTTAACTATAGATTTAACTATTTATAATTGAATAACCAAGGTTTGAAATTTTAGAGGTTTACATTGTCAGGATGCAATGATATACGCGGATTGAAAATTTGATTTTCAGACGGAGGTATTGCAGCCAATTTAATTAAACAACTGAACAAAAATACGAATAAAAATAAACTATGAACAATAATATTATCTTTTTACTTTGACTGATTTAAAAAATTATACTGAAAAGGAATGGAGTTTTTGACACAAACCCAGTTCTTCTAACCCTTATATCTTTGCAACCCAATGTCGTAAACGTTTAATATTTCATACTATGAATTCTGTTATAAGTCTAAGTTTGAAATTTCAAAGGTTTATATTATCAGGTTGCAAAGATATAGGTAGTGGACAATTTGAGTTTGTGACAAAAACTCAGTTCCTTTATGGAACTTTGAGCAATATGGACTAAAATCATAAAAAGAATGAAAAATTGAGCTTGCATGCCAAAACTATCCCAGGCATTTTCTTCATAGACTTTTCGGAGTTATAATATAGGACTTTCGCCACATTTGTATATAGTTGATTTTTTATAATATGTTTTGATTTTATTTTTTAAAATAATATCTAGCTTACAACTTGTTTTCGAACATTCATGGAAAATATGAAAATGTGGAGGGGTGATATAAACGTACACAAAGGAATCAAAACTAGCAACGAACTATAGTTTTATAATCCATACAGCTTTGCAGCCATAAATTCTATTTCTTAAATTTTTAAAACTTAAATTTTTGATCTAGCAGAAATTATAATTTGAAGTATTGAAAGCCATTAGGTTGCAAAGATATGGGTAGAAAAATATAGAATGCATGGCGTGTGTAATTAGTTCTTGTGTTATTTACCGAAAAAAATATGTCAATGGTCCAAAATTAACTTTTCAGGTTTTTGAAGACTTAGTGATTTTTTTGAGTAAATAATAGACTGAAATAAAAGTATTTAAATAACTGGCGAGTATTGTGTTTCTATCTGGTATGTTTCACTGGTTTCATCAAACTCTACAGATAAACTGTTAAGATGTGATGTAATAATCTTCTTGTTCTGAATAACAATGTTGAAGGCAGGAGCTTCACTGTCCTCAGGTATATCATCTGAAATAGCAATTTATCGAATAGTGTAATTGAGCATAATAAACCAGTTTTCAACCAAGAACAATGTTAGTTAAGAGCATAATAAACCAGTTTTCAAAATTAATTTAAAACGTGAAATTTATTAAATCAAGGGTTTTACTTTTAATATATCGTAATTAGTTGAATGCGCGCCGCTTATCGCTGAATGATGATAGACAAATAGGGATTGCGGGATTTCAAGATTTTAACCATGTGTTTAATTTTAACTCGTCGATTTCGGCGAGTTAAATATTTAACCACAAGTTTAAATATTTAACCTCATGGTTAAAGTTCGGGTTTAAATTAAGTCAGAATTGGCATTTAACCATGAACTTAAAATTTAAGTCAAAACTTTTCGTTCTTTAGTTTTAGACTCAGTTAAAAATTATTATCAATCCATTTTAACGCAGTCTTTAATATTTACCTAAAACTGTACTGTCAGATGAAACCTCTTGTATCAAAAACTTTTGCGATAAAACAGAGACAAATATCTGCAAAAAAAAGACAGACAGGTTTTCCCTTATATTACTTTGAAATATTGTGAGACAGTGTCAGTTTTACATCGAATATTTATAAGTTAAAAAAGAATGAAAGGAACCGAGATTTTTGCCACAAACTTTGACTTTCTAACCCCCATATCTTTGCAACCCGATGTCGCAGACTTTTGATAATTCAAACAATGATTTCTGTAATGTAAAATTGTCTAATTGTTGGAAAGGCTGAAAAGTAATAAGGTTTAGAAAATGTGAGTTTGTGGCAAAAACTCAATTTCTTTAAGAGATAACTGTCCATATTGTAGTACAGTTTTTAATTATTATTATTTAAAAAAATATGGTATTTCTTGCTTAAATTTCATATTATCATTTAAAATAGATCATGAGAACTATTGGAGAAAATGAAGTTTTACCTTCAATTTACTTATGTTAAAGGGAGTGTTCGCGAAAAATGAAAGGGGGTATAGGCATAATGCGATAAAAAAGCGCTTTTGATCGCTACTAATCTTACTTCTATCTGTTGCGTCTTTAAAGAGAAAATTGATAAAGACGTCTCATACCGAAGAGCGTAGCGCCCATACAAATTGAGGAAGTTGGAAAATACGACTTAGATCGTAAAAAAATCAAATTAATATCAAACAAATCATTCAGATATTACAACCTATAGTCATCGATTTTCTTTCGCCACATTTGTATATAGTTGATTTTTTATAATATGTTTTGATTTTATTTTTTAAAATAATATCTAGCTTACAACTTGTTTTCGAACATTCCTGGAAAATATGAAAATGTCGTCTTCATTACCAAAAATCCCCGAAACAGGAATAAATGTTTTTATAAGTAACTCTCAAATCATAACAATTAAAACATATTATATAAAATCAACTATATATAAATGTGGCGAAAGATAATCGATGACTATAGGTTGTAATATCTGAATGATTTGTTTGAAATTAAATTGATTTTTTTAAGGTCTAAGTCGTATGTTGCAATTTTCTCAATTTGTATGGACGCCATGTTATTCGGTATGAGACGTCTTTATCAATTTTCTCCTTATAGACGCAACAGATAGAAGTAAGATTAGTAGCGATCAAAAGCGCTTTTTTTATCGCATAAAGCCTATACCCCCTTTCATTTTTCGCGAACACTCCCTTTAAAGAGTTGTAAAGTCATATTATATTAATAAACTATAACGGGTATTACTTTAAAGTGCTGAGAATTATGTTGTCCTTATTTGCCAGAGGAAGGAACATTTCTTTGACAAAAATATAATAAATCCCTGATCTCGATATCCACAATCAACATTCTTTTGTTGTGACTGGTCGAAGATTTCAGCATCATTATATTATATATATAACCAAAAGGTTTTCCTTAATCCGTTACGTTACGAATTAGTGTTTTGTCCTGAGATAACATTACACAAGTTTCGATCTCAAACTGAAAACTGTTGAATGATATTAGTTTAAAATTTGTGTTTACCTCCTGGTTGTTTTTTACAAGATCTCTTAGCTTCTTACTTCTATACACAGACTATTCAAGGTATTCAACGTAGTTTTATTAAAGGGAATGTTCACCAAATAAAGATATTAAAAACATTATATTATATTATAAAACATATATTTTAATTGAAACTACACAGTTGAATTCCTTTGGGTAAAGAAGTTTGAATCCTTAAAAAAATATTAGGATTTAAAATTGAATGGGTAAAAAAAAATTGTAAATGATGTTAAAAATTACCTTTCTGGTTTGGATGAAAGAGAACAATTTGTTGGCGTTGCTTTAAACTTGCTCTTTTCTCCTTATCCATCAGTGCTCTTTCCATCTTTAACCAAACTACAGTTTAAAGGGAGGGTTCCCAATTTATTAAAGGGAGTGAACATATACTGCATTTCGATCAGGGATTTGATTGGCAAAGTCAGTTTAAAGAAAACTCTGCTGTTTATAGGAAACTCTGCTGTTTATAGGAAACTCTGTAGTTTAAAGGAAACTCTGCAGTTTAAAGGAAACACTGAAGTTTAAAGGAAACTCTGCTGTTTATAGGAAACTCTGTAGTTTAAAGGAAACTCTGCAGTTTAAAGGAAACTCTGCAGTTTAAAGGAAACTCTGCAGTTTAAAGGAAACTCTGCATTTTAAAGGAACTCTGCAGTTTATAGGAAACTCTGCAGTTTAAAGGAAACTCTGCAGTTTATAGGAAACTCTGCTGTTTATAGGAAACTCTGCAGTTTATAGGAAACTCTGCAGTTAAAAGGAAACTCTGAAGTTTAAACGAAACTTTACAGTTTATAGGAAACTCTGCAGTTAAAAGGAAACTTTGCAGTATTAAGGAAACTCTACAGTTTATAGGAAACTTTGCAGTTGCAGTTAAAAGGAAACTCTGAGTCTGCAGTTTTAAGGAAACTCAACAGTTTAAAGGAAATTCTGCAGTTTATATGAAACTCTGTTGTTTAAAGGAAACTCTGTAGTTTATTGGAAATTCTGCAGTTTATAGGAAACTCTGCTGTTTAAAGGAAACTCTGCTGTTTAAAGGAAACTCTGCAGTTTATAGGAAACTCTGCAGTTTATAGGAAACTCTGCTGTTTATAGGAAACTCTGCAGTCTATAGGAAACTCTGCAGTTTATAGGATACTCTGCAGTTTATAGGAAACTCTGCAGTTTAAAGGAAACTCTGCAGTTTATAAGAAACTCTGCAGTTTATAGGAAACTCTGCAGTTTATAGGAAACGTTTAAGATTTGATGGTTTTATCAAAACAAACTGCATCATCCTGACCTTGTTTTCAAGTTTACACAGCATCTATAAAAAAATAAATGAAAGCTTGTTAGAAGACGACATTTCGAAGCGTAATTTATATTTTGAAACGGTACACATACAATCCTTTATACTAATTATTTTGATATTTACAACATTTTTTTTCAGAAAAGGTCAATATGAAAAAATATTTAATGAGCGTAAGCGTGTTCTTCACCTTGGTTTTATGCTAGGGGGGGGGACTTTACCTTGGTTTTATGCTAGGGGACTCAGGAATAAAAACTTCTATTTTAGTTTTTTCTCCACCAACCAGAATCCACAGCTTTTCGTCTGTCTAAACATTTAAAATAAACAGTTTTAATATTAATATCATGAGATTTATTACAAAACATTTTAAGACAGTGGGCCTCATAAAACAATGGAATCGTAAGACAACTGTTAGGACTCAAGTTAAAATAGTACAATAAACATGACACTCAACAATTGTGCATGGTACACACCCATTTCAGTTAATCAGTTAAACTATACCTCAATGGTTAAACTATACCTCGATGGCTTTATGAAAAATAAGATACACTTGAAATGAACAAATTTCGTCTTCCTTTTCCACCGTTTTATGAGTCTCACGTTCTTTAGGCCAGGTGCCATTGAGAACCAAAAGACAGTAAAATCTGAGTTCGTTTCCCTTATGTCCATTTGACAGCCCAAATTTTTATTTTGAATAATCTTTTCTGTTTGTTTATCTTCTTGTGATTTTTTACATTTTTAAATTTTTTTTATCGATTTTAATGGTTATTATATCGTTAGAACTGACGAGGGTCAACCCAGACCGAAATATATTTTCAATAAATGTGGAACTAACATCTACTTTTTTACTTTACAGAGGTTTGGTCCAACACCATCACTGAATTTTAAAGTAAAATTTGCGTCGCCTTCTTTCTTCTTTTTAGTAATGTTTAATAATTTCGCAAGGTTTTGTAACCAAGCAGTTAAAATATTTCTAAAATTTGCTTTGTTTATTTTCAGAAATAGATCAGTTGCAACAATTGGAATTGGGGCTTGCAAGATCCTTCACCACAAGTAAGGAAAAACAAAGACGACACTCACACAACTTTTTGGGGTTCGCACTGTAGATTAATAAATCTATGTTGTTGTCCTGTTATAACAGTTCTTTTTCCTTTTTTCTTTAAACATTTACATTTTTTGTTTTTTATTTATTCAAAAAACGTGCGTTAAGTCACCAGAAATTTCATAAAATATATTTTAATACATTTCACTTTCTTAATTACCTTGTTTTTAACCTTCGGACGTGATGTTAATGCTCCCATGATATCTAAAAAATGGAAATAAATTAATTTTATTTTAATTTGACAGATTTTTTTTTGTCATGAAAGGCCTTTTCTCTGTTGCTTCCGATTTTAGGAATTTGTTTGTTTAAAGGCTCTCTAGGGATAATTTCAAGAGACCCTTCCTTTGAAGTGGCATTTCTGTAAATTGTACGCTTTATAAATGTGTCTAAACAAGGATAAGTGAGATATCCTTCAGTTCTTTTCAATTGTAGCTTTTCTGAAAAGGGAGTTTCTCATTCAAAGCTGCAGAGACAATGTAGGAACTTAAGAAAAACGACGATATCTCTCTCACAGATACTCAGATACAGGTTTACAAGGTACCGTTGTGAATCCGGCATACCACTCTTTAAATATAAGGTCACTTGAAAGAAATTGCTTCTTCCCTCTAAATGAACCTGCACAATTGCGTTAAATGCATGACCATTACCCTTGAATTAAGGGCGCAAAGCACCCTGCCTAAATAAATTTGAAATTAAAGTTTTAGGACTGAATATTTTAAGAACTGTGAGTGAGGTTCAGAACTACAGATAGTTTGTTTATCAAAGATTTACAAAATTAGCATGTCTGCAAATGTAAATACACAAAGATCTTATTTTACAACCATACTTTACAAACCAAAATCTACCAATTTCAAAACTTGAAAATCTTTAATTATAGCGCAGCATTCACTTTTATAAAGATTATAATTGTAAACTTTTATATTTGCGTAAAGCTGGCAGGGTGTATAAGGTAGGACTGAACTGGTTTCTAACCATAATATTCTACAGAGTGCCTATATTGCACAATCTCAGTTCTATTTATCTTTCTATCTAGTATCTATTCACCAATCTTTCTATCATGTATTTCTATCTTTAAATCTATTCACCCATCTTTCTATCATGTTTATCTATCTTTATATCTATTCACCCATCTTTCTATCATGTTTATCTATCTTTTTATCCATTCTTTCTATCATGTTTATCTATCTTTTTATCCATTCACCCATCTTTCTACCATGTCTATCTATCTTTATATCTATTCACCCATCTTTCTATCATGTCTATCTATCTTTATATCTATTCACCAATCTTTCTATCATATCTATGTATCTTTATATCTATTCACCAATCTTTCTATCATATCTATCTATCTTTATATTAGTTAGTTACTCTCGCCGTCTACCCGCCCGTGGTATTAAATCATGATTTTAGATTTTCAACCAATTTAGTCCAGCCGTTTTTCCAAAAATAGCTAACATAACAATATATATATATATATGAGAAAAAAGCTTTATTATATAGATAAAGGATGTGATTAGTTGTTAACAACGATTTTAAAAAACTGACAAAACTTGCTTAGTTTATGTTTGTTAAAAGTCCCTATGAAGACTGATCAATAAATGCTCTTCTCTGAATCAGAATATACATTATATTACACATGTGCCCGTATGTATTGTATTACCTGATATTGATCTAAGTTTATTTAGCTTGGTTTGATAAAGGAATTAATTTAATTCCTCGGGGGTGACATGAGAAATTAATCCAAAATGTAAAAAATGTATATTCATCCTTGAATATTAGTAGTCAAATATTTTCCCTGTAAAACCTTTTTTTTCATTTAAAAATTTAATCTATTACTTTAAAAAATCACTAAAAAAATATTAGTTTTTGGCTCCTTTTATTCAGCTCTTAATCCTGCTATAAGAGGATATTTACTGCTAAATTTTAGTTCTTTTAGATTTTTTTCATATTCAAACTTGGCATATAGCTTAGTAACTAGTTTAGCTTTTTATTATTGATTTTCGAGACGCGTTTTTTCATCACTCTCAAATACACAATTGTTTTTGCGGGGTTTTCTGTTTAAATTGATATTGATAATTGATAAATATATATATTGAGATTAATATAAAAAAGTGTTCGCTAAATCGATCAAACTAATCAAATTCTAAATGTTAGACATAAAATCTTGGTGTGAACTTTTCTATTTTTTTTTTTAATTCATAAATTAAAATGTTTGGCGAAGAAAGGGAGAACAGCTAAAAAATAATTAAACGTTTCTTCTGAAAGGGACTGCAAAGGAAGAATAAAAGGATGAAACCTGAGAATTTCAGGAGTTGATCGAGACCTATAAAAGTTCTATCCAATGTTCTTGTCTCGAGAAATTGATATAAAACGGTGTCAAAATTATACTAAAAACTATACAGGGTGTTCCAAAAAAAGATCTTTAAGACATTGTAGCACTCACTATGGTTCAATTTTTAAAAAATTGTACATTTTTGAAATCTTTGTAACATTTTTGATCGATTGAAACCAATAAGAGGTTTGTAGCACTAAAATAAAGGAAGTATTGACCGTTTGAAGTATACCATTTAGGCTTGGTTGAAAATCCAGGTACAAAACTGTATCCTTCTTGGTAAATCTTCAGGTTTAAGTTTCTTCCTTCTGATTGGGCAATATTGACAGCTGGACTTGCTTAACATCAAAGAGTTCCTCCTTACAGAACTCACAAGTGAAGTATGTTCAGCGCCAATTACTGCAGCAACCCTGACAACATTTCTAGGAGTATCTACCATGTCTAGTTTTTCCACTGGATGAATATCCAGGACTCGTCTTACTATTCACATTGAGGAGTATTGTCCCTTACTCCATTACCTTTTTATAAATTCTTCTTTCATGACATAGAGCAGGCTGTCATGAATTGGGAAATCTGCGCCCAAAGTTCATTAAAAGACCAGGCACAACCTTTAGTTCTGTCACCCTTTATTATTACGTTTCTGCGTTGTAAACTGAGGTCTTGCCATTATTTAACAATAACTTCATTTTTAAGACTTGTTTTAAAGATTTGCATGTTTTTCAGACCCTAATAAAATTCCATATATATGTTTAAAAATAATATATAAACTCAACCAAGATAAAATGACAAAGTTCAAACGGTGAATACTTCCTTAATTTGTTGTGCTATATACCTCACTGATATCAATCGATCGGAAGTGCTACAATGTCTTAAAGATCGTTTTTTGGGACACCCTGTATAATGTATATTTATCAGATTTTGTATAATTATCTAAGTTGTAAACAGATCATATTCAACAATCTGAAACCTACGATATCCAAGAGGAGTCTAAAAAAATTCAGGTTTGCTCCTATTTTGAATTCAATAATTTTTAATTTTTAATAGATATAATTGATAATATAACTAATAAGTCCGTATCACGTGACCAGAACTCCAACTAATGGCAGTGCAGTATCATTGTCACATCACAGGAACATCAGATAGAACTCTTATAGGTTTCGATTAAATCCTGAAATGCTCAGATTTCAGTCTATACCCCCCTTCAGTTTTCCTTTACAGTCCCTTTAAGATTTTATTTAAATCCTGCAAGGAAAACTGTATTGAGAAAGCAGAAAAATCACAAATACAATCTCAAAGAACTTAAGATTAAAATGTTTTGTATATTAAGTGTTTTTTTTTGTCGGATGAAAAAATAATGATAAAAATTAATCAGTGTAGTTTACAAAAGATTTTTTTTACAGAAATAATGTGTAGACACCTTAATCAATTGAAGATATTTTAACTTAGATAATTTTGAATACATTTAATAAAGGGAAAACATGGTTCTTTAAAATTGAGGAAATGGTTTATTTACATTTTTGGTATTTTAATTCATGAACATATTACGTTAATACATATAAAATATATAAAAGATATAATTCTGTCTTTGAAAAATAAAATACAATTTTTTTAATTTATTATTTATGCTTTCGTTTTTTAAATGATATGAATTAACAATGCTGCACTAAAAATAGATAAACAAAAATGGTTATTATACAAATTCTATTCTGCCTTTAGAGTTGTTTAAAGGTCAATTAATTCAATTCTATTCGATGATTCTAATTCATTCTGGTTTTTTAAACATTGTCTGAATAGG